CAGTTCTTAATGTTTTAATTTCTATTTCCCCTTCTATAGTTCAGGTGTAGAAGTAGTTTTAAGCTATTTAGAATACACTTTGGCACAAAAACGGTATATAAATTATTGATGCCGTTAAGCATCGTGACAATAGTAATCTATTGCATTGTTATGTTTTCTCTACATTTCAAAGCTATAAAACATTCCAGCTATGTTACACCACATTTCTGCTTTATCATTATCATCATTATTATTTTAATAATAATCACATTTTGTACTTATTGAATTCAATTTTTTTCAGATTAAACCACTTAGGGGTTTTCAATTGAATAAGTAGTCTATATCTGTATCTATATCAAGATAGAGATAGTGCTTTTTTCTTTAAAAATGTTTAGGGGTACTCTCATTTTGACTCAATAAAACCACCATTTTATAGTTCAAATCGGGGGAAATAAATACAGTAAATGGACAAAAGTACAAAGATTTACAAAATGTTTAGGGGTATGCATACCCCTGTGTCCCCCAGAAAAAAAGCACTGGATCGATCATCTATCTACCTATCTAGACACATATGTTTAAAATAATAGTAAGATAAGAAATGGGAAGCCACCCAGAGAACTTGCATTATTGGCCAACATCTAGATAGGATAAATAAATATATCAGCATCAAGAAACCTCTGGCCCACCAGGCCTCTCCCATCACATCAGCCTACAGCACAAGGTCTGTGTTGGAGGTGATGTGTTGTTGTTGTTTAGTCGTTTAGTCATGTCTGACTCTTCGTGACCCCATGGACCAGAGCACACCAGGCACTCCTGTCTTCCACTGCCTCCCGCAGTTTGGTCAAACTCATGCTGGTAGCTTTGAGAACACTGTCCAACCATCTCGTCCTCTATCGTCCCCTTCTCCTTGTGCCCTCCATCTTTCCCAACATCAGGGTCTTTTCCAGGGAGTCTTCTCTTCTCATGAGGTGGCCAAAGTATTGGAGCCTCAGCTTCACGATCTGTCCTTCCAGTGAGCACTCAGGGCTGATTTCCTTCAGAATGGATGCGTTTGATCTTCTTGCAGTCCATGGGACTCTCAAGAGTCTCCTCCAGCACCATAATTCAAAAGCATCAATTCTTCGGCGATCAGCCTTCTTTATGGTCCAGCTCTCACTTCCATACATCACTACTGGGAAAACCATAGCTTTAACTATATGGACCTTTGTTGGCAAGGTGGAGGTGATGTACGTGTGTGTATAGATGCATGTTTGCATGTGAGAAGGGGTGTAATGTAGGTGCAAAGGGGGAGGAGTAGGGTTGAGGGGGTGCTTTGGGTCACCCAGATTTGCACTAAGCCCCACAACCGCTTCCCTCTTAAAGAACTCAGCCCATGGGGGAAATGACACTTGTCCCACCCTTGAATTAAAGAAATCAAGCTGACAGTTTTTCTCTCCGCTAAAAATCTGGAAACATGCTCCAGCCTTTCTTCCAACCACCCCTTGATCATTTCAGGTGCCCCTTTCTGCAGTAAAGTTCTCAGCAGCTGGACTCAGGTCAGCTGAGGTCGCAAGCAGCAATCCTATAAATCCATTTACCTGGGAGGAATCCCCGCTGAATTGCAACAGGACTTACTCCTGCATAAACATGCATAGGATTGCTGTTTCACAACAGCAAATAGCCGGGTTATTTCAGACAATCTGGTACAGTCCACTCACCTCTCCTTGTCCTGAAACGGCAGGGAATCAAATATTGCTTTGTAGTCGTCCGTAACAAATTTGATCTTTTCGTTTGAATATGGAAAAAGCTGGCCTTTAACCTGTGAAGCCAAAAAGGAAAGCTGAAAGATCCTGGGACAATTGCACACTAGGTATTGGCTAGCGAGCAACAACTCTTTCTTCTCTCTCCTTTAATGTGGCATCTCCCCAGGTGTAGATAACTTTCACGCTAAACTTCTGCTGCTTTTTTTAAAAGAGGCATAGCTCTGATTTGTATTTTTTCCATATTGAAATTGTCATTTTGATTTTGATTTTTGTTAGTACGGCGCAATATGGAGGTTCCGTTCCTATCATTGTTACAGTCTTCTCCAGCTGGGCTCTTTAATAACACAAAGAGCCCCCCCTAAAGCTGAGCAATGGTCCATCTAGCCTCCCCACAATGTCCAATCAGATGCTTCTGGGAAGTCCACAAGGAGGGCTTGAAGGGAATAGTCCCTGCCCCATTGATGTTGGTATTTGGTGGCATAAGTTCACCTGCTAACACCAACAGCCCTTATCTTAATTGACATATCCTCCTCCGTGAAGTCGTTCGGTTTCATTACACATTCGGCCCCTACTTTTGTCTGCCATGAATCAACTTCCTATCCATTTTACGGCATAATTCCAAATTCTAGTATTCCGGGGGGGGGGGGGAACTCTCTCCTCTCCCCTCTTTCCTTCTCTTTCCCCCCACTTCTAAGACCTCTACCACTTGGGTGTTCCTCCATCAAAGTCCCCAAACACCTTTGCTCACTAAAGTGTGGAATAGTCCTAGTGATTCAGCCAGCTAGCCAGCCATGCTCTCTGCATTATACAGTGGTACCTTGGATTACATACGCTTCAGGTTACATACACTTCAGGTTACATACTATCCGCTAACCCAGAAATATTACCTCGGGTTAGGAACTTTGCTTCAGGATAAGAACAGAAATTGTGCTCTGGCGGCGCAGCGGCAGCAGGAAGCCCCATTAGCTAAAGTGGTGCTTCAGGTTAAGAACAGTTTCAGGTTAAGAACGGACCTCTGGAACGAATTAAGTACTTAACCCGAGGTACCACTGTACTCCATTTCAATGCCCCTCCCACCCAGTTTCCCACCCAGCTCTTTATAAGTTCCCTCCCTCCTCACTTAGTTCCCCCCCACACACCATTTTTAAAATACTTCTGCAAAACTTGAGGTTTTCTACAAGCTTGCTGATAACCTCCCTTTTGTGTGTGGGTGATGCTGTTCCAGCTACATAAACATTGCCACGCATCCCCTGATGGCTGGAAATAGAATAATAATAATAATAATAATAATAATAATAATAATAAAATTTATTTATATCCCGCCCTCCCTAGCCGAAGCCAGGCTCAGAGTGGCTAACAACAGTAAAAGTAACACAGTTTACATAAAATCACAATCAATTAATTGAAATACATTCTAAAATCAATTCATTCTAAAATCAATTCAGAGTCAAATTAATGGCAACCATTGGGCTAGAGTTCTATGAGGCATGATCATGTCCATAGCGCAGACCTCAACAGGCTTTCTCCCAAGCCCTGCTCAGCCTTCCATCCCTCCCACAACGATGGTTCCCTTAGGAAGACTGTGCCACTGGTCTTACCTCCCGGAAGATTTCTGTGAGCTTTTCCGAACAGCCCTTGTAGTGCAACCGCATGTCGAGGGTGTTGGTACTCAAGGCCACACAGCCAGACGGCTTGAGAAGGCGGTCCACTTCCTTCATGAAGCGGGGAATGTCAAACCAGTGGGCAGCAGTGAAGGCCGTGAGGAGATCCACAGAGCGGTCCTCAAAGGGGAGCTCTTCCGCAGGACACACGCTGGGCCGGCGAAGGGCAAAATGGCTGTTAACTGCTATGTCTCGCTCGCTCAGGTCATCAAAATGGCTGTGGGGGTTTGCAGCGTCTGCCTCCTAAACCACCACATCATGAATCCACAACAAAAGCTCTGCTCTCTATGACGGCTGCTCTGCCAGAGATGAGAAGCCACAAACGTTGGCTGGTCTTGGCAACCAGGCCAAATCTGTGCTCGCCACCAGGGTTCGAGATTAGCCAGGCATGTACAGTAGTACCTTGGGTTACATATGCTTCAGGTTACATACGCTTCAGGTTACAGACACTGCTAACCCAGAAATAGTGCTTCAAGTTAAGAACTTTGCTTCAGGATGAGAACAGAAATCGTGCTCCAGCGGCATGGCAGCAGCAGGAGGCCCCATTACCTAAAGTGGTGCTTCAGGTTAAGAACAGTTTCAGGTTAAGTACAGACCTCCGGAACGAATTAAGTACTTAACCCAAGTGTACTGCACCTGTCTATTGGCCATTTGCAAACAAGTTTCGATGCCTGGGCACCAGGATGGTGCCTGACATCTCTACCCTCTGGAGGTGCATGCCTGGGGATCCTTGGACCTTGATTGTTTTCACACACTAATATCCTGCCCTGTGGAATTCTATCTGTTATATTCTATCTGCACAATCAGAACGAATTTCAGGACCTGAAATGCTTTCTCTGTGCAGCCTAAGCAGAAGCAGTGAACAACATTATAGTTCATTGTTGTTGCTTGTCTTCACTTACCCCACCCCTCCGCCCTGGTCATAGTTGTGAAGAATATTCTTACGGTTAGGGAAGTTTTTAATGTTTGATTCTATTTTTAATATTCTGTTAGGAGTTGCCCAGAGTGGCTGGGGAAACCCAGCCAGATGGGCGGGATATAAATAATAAATTTATTATTATTATTATTATACGTTATGCATGGTCCATGTCACCATTAAGAAAAAGAGGTCGGAATATACATAGGCATTTCAGAGGATACTAGCACTGCTTCTTCCCTTAACAAAAGCTTAAAACGACGTGAGGTAACAGAAGCATATATTCTGAGCCACAGAAAACAATAGAGCCACTTGATTTTCATATCTAGAGTCCAGAGTCCACTTCTGGGTGCTTTAAAGAGGAGGACTCACACAGTAAGGTGTGACCTTCCAATAAATATTTAAAATTGCTGATAAAACCAGTGAAAAGCAATTAAAAACACTGCATGCCGCACAGACCCAGAAATTGCTTTTCACTATTTTTTTCAGCAATTTTAAATATTTCTTGCAAACTGCTTGGAGATCTTACTACAGTCAAGTGGTATAAACATCTTGTTAAATACACATGTGTGCCAAATCTACCCTTACTTACAGGTAGGAGACATTTGGCGGGTGGGCAGCTCGCTTGGCCTCCTCGATCTGAGCCTCGCTTACGTCTGTCCCGACCACCTTCTCAAAGCGCTTCGCCAGCAGGTGACTGCTCTGGCCTGTGCCACATCCCACGTCCACTGCCAGGTGAAAGGAGGTCACCTTCTGAGGGAAGACAGCAGCACATATTGAGAAGCATAGCATCAATTCACTTACAAGGTGACATCTTTCTCTATTCCAGACACCAGTTCTCACTCCCTAACAAATAGGCCGTAAACCAGCCATCACCTGGTACACACACCCTTCTCTGCCATTGGTCGGGCTACTGTGATGTCACAGAACATTCAAGGGCATTCCAATTCTCCTGGGGAAAGTCCCCTGCCCCTAGCAGCTCACAATAGGTAAAGGATGGGGTTGTAAACCAATTCGGTGAAAGAAAATGACAGGAGCCAGTGAGGATTACTCAGTAGGGGGCAATGTGGGATAAGATTCAAGCTCAGCTTTTCCTCTTGCAGTCAAACAAGAAGAGTAGCATCTTAGCTAGCAAATCTCCAGAAGTATTTTTGCAACACCAGCAAGCTTAATCTTTGCCTGAAAAAATGGTTGGAACACTTTGGCCTCTTTCATCTCACCAAATGCTTTTACTCAGTATTTTTCTTTCCCAGTGACTAATATGCCTCACCCCTTTTAAACTTTGCAATGGGAATCTATCAATCTTTTACCCACCACAGCGTCGTCTTACTTTCAAGAAAGCGTGAAACCTTACAAAGGGAGGAAATTATTTGGAGCTTGGCTTTTTACTGTTTACTTAATGTTAAGAGCTCGGAAGCTCCACCTAAGATAAGATTGGAAGGGACCGCAAACGGTCATCTAGTCCAACCCACTGCAATGCAGGAATCACAGCTCATTTTTAAAAAAAGAAAGCTTAGCTCAATTTTAAAAATGGTTTTAATAATACGAACCAAGAGAGCAAGAGACACTCTTTGAAAGGGTGTTTTGATATTTCATGTCTTACTGTGTTTTAATTTATTGGAAGCCACCCAGAGCGGCTGGGGTAACCTAGTCAGATGGGCAGAATATAAATTTATTATTATTATTATTAGTTCCTTCCCTCCTGAAGACAACTCATATACAACTTTTATCTGTTAACAGCTGCAAGGCACGGATTCTTCGGTTTTCAAGGATGCGTGTGTTTGGAGAGGAGGATCCTTAGTGTTTTCAGTTTCACAAAAAGGTATCCGATACCAACAGTCTTTCCCAGCCCTCCCTGGCGACACTGAGGACTGAAGCTGGGACCTTCTACATCAGGCTTCCTCAGCCTCAGCCCTCCAGATGTTTTTGGCCTACAACTCCCATGATCCCTAGCTAGCAGGACCAGTGGTCAGGGATGCTGGGAATTGTAGTCTCAAAACACCTGGAGGGCTGAGGTTTAGAAAGCCTGTTCTACATGCTATGTAAGTACCCTCCCAATTAGCCACCATCCTTCCTCTTGGCCCATCGAGCTCTCCTGCCAACACTGACCGGCAGCAGCTCTGCAAACTCTAGGGCAGGAGGCGCTGCTTGCTTGTTTGCTTTCTTGCTCGAGTGATTGATTGATTGCATGCCTGCTCTCTCCCGACGCCCCCCCCTTTTTTTTACCTTTTTCTCCAGGTAGGAGAGGATCACACCTTGGAGGTTCTCCGGGGGTGGGAACCTGTATTTCTGGTAGACAGCAGCGTGATCTTTGGCCGCAAACAAATGAGCGGCCATCTCTCCCGGAGAGAAGCAGTCTTCTCGTCCGCCCTCTCGTTTTATTAATCCGCGAAGGGTGAGCTTCGCTCTTGCAAACTTTGGAACAGAAATCAGGCAAAAAAGCTGCTCCCCGCCCCCGCCCGCTTTGCAGGACGTTGTAAAAACCCGGAACAGAATTAACCGGGAACGGACCCTTTACCAATAAAAGCGATTTAGGTCACCCTAAGTGAAAGGCGCTGGAGGAAAGGCACCTGGGGAAGAGTAGCTTAGAAAACGACTTTCCAGCATGCCACGTTGGATGACGAAACGCGCGTGAGAGAGAAACAGAAAATTAAAAGGAAGGGAATGAATGAATGAATGAGAGGCAGGGATGGAGAGAGAGATCTGTGGAATTGCAGACAGCTGGAAAGATGTGCAGCTGCTGCACTTGTTTATTGCACTTTATTCACCAAGGAACTCAATGTGATGTGCATGGTTCTCCCTCTCTCCATTTTATCCTCACAACAACCCTGTGAGGTAGCCTTAGGCCTCTGCCCCATCATTTAGTAAGAAACAAGCCAGCCCCCTCTCCAGTGACCTCCACAGGGGTGGCGGAGTGGCGGTCAAGTTGCTCCCCCTTGAATGCTGCATCAACTCCAGATTTTTATTTGTTTTTAACAGTAACTTTCTAGCATTTAATAGACGCGAGGCAAAAATGTGCAGCAGCGGGCTATTCTGCTCATTAGATTCAGTGAGAAACTTGCCTACTCCCACTTTTCAGGTATGCACGATTATGTTTGGAATATTTACTTTGCAGGGGGTGGGGTGGAATTTTGTTCAGGCTCCTGCATCCTTCCATTCCTGGAGTTGCTGAGCCGGAGCGTCACAGCGATGATTGACGGGTGATTCCCATAGAGATGGGGGAAAAGTGTAGAGTCACAATCCAGCTTCTTGCAGGCAGAAGTTCCTGGTTCCTTTTCAAATTTATTTTTGTGCCCTTCAGAACACAACACAAACACAACACAACACATACACCCTCCCCAAATTCCCACCCTTTCCTTCCAGCTACACAGTGAATAGCAACGAAGCAATCGGTTTTTCCACAAACAGCTTGTATGCCTTTTCTATGCCGGAGCGGTGTTTGATCAGCCAGCCTAACCCCGCCCTGATCTTGAGACTGGCAATTGAGGCGGGGCCTGTGTGTGATTGCTACAAGGTTTGACCAATCAGCGCTAGCCTGCATGGAAAACTGGGGTGGGTGGGCTTTGCAATTGCACTAGCCAGTCAGTGCTGAGCACAGCTGGCTGGTACTCGAAGATGGAGCATTTGGTCGCCGAGGAGCTCAGTTCACTTTGCAAATCTGCGCATCTGTTCCAAATCCAGAACCACATCCGCACCACATCTTTAAAGCACTGTGATGCTCCTTTAAATTCCCCCAAGGAATTCTGGGAGTTGTAGTTTGTTAAGGCTGCTGAGAATCGCAAGGAGAACTACAGTTTTCAGAATGGCTTAACAATAAGTCCCTATTTCCAGGGAACTCCTAGAATTGTAGTTGTCCTTTGAGGGAAGGGCCAAAGCTCAGGGGACAGAGCGTATGCTTGGCATGCAGAAGGTCGCAGATTCAATCCACAGCATCTCCAGACAGGGCTGAGAGAGACCCCGCTGTCTGAAACCCCAGAGTCGCTGCCAGTCAAGAGTAGACATGTTGTTTAGTCGTTTAGTCGTGTCCGACTCTTCGTGACCCCATGGACCAGAGCACACCAGGCACTTCTGTCTTCCACTGCCTCCCGCAGTTTAGTCAAACTCATGCTGGTAGCTTCGAGAACACTATCCAACCATCTCGTCCTCTGTTGTCCCCTTCTCCTTGTGCCCTCCATCTTTCCCAACATCAGGGTCTTTTCCAGGGAGTCTTCTCATGAGGTGGCCAAAGTCTTGGAGCCTCAGCTTCAGGATCTGTCCTTCCAGTGAGCACTCAGGGCTGATTTCCTTCAGAATGGATAGGTTGGATCTTCTTGCAGTCCATGGGACTTTCAAGAGTCTCCTCCCCTTCATGATCTCCTCCCCTCCTCCTCCCCTTCATGGATCACTGCCTTGCCATGGCGAAGGGGCTTGAATAACTCAGAGAAGCTATGAACTATGCCAAGCAGGGTACCCAAGGTCATAGTGGAGAATTTTGACCAAACGTGATCCACCTGGAGGCGGAACCGGCAAGCCACTCCAGTATCCCTGCCAAGAAAACTCCATGGACAAAGTCAGAGTAGACAATACTGAGCTAAATGGCCTGATGGTCTGAGTTGGCATAAAACAGCTTCCTATAAGTATTCTTCTGACTTTTTCCAAACCACAGAAAATCTGACTTTAAAAAGAAGAGCCACAGGTGTAGCTTAACAGGTCCCATTTTCTTTTCCCAAGAGGCACGCATGCTGCTTTTGAGGAGTATTGCTGCATTTTCAGGAGTCCGCCACCAGCCATGCTAATGAGGGGACTGCCAGACTGCAGGTCTTTAACTCCCATTATTCCTGACGATGGGCCAGACTGGCTGGGGCTGATGGGAATTGTAGTCCAACAACACCTGGAGGGCCACAGGGTTGCTACGCACAGAGTGTTTGAGTACCGGGACATTCGAAGGGAAACCAAAATGCTTGTTTACAAAGCTAAACGTTGCACGCTTGGCAAATCCACACCGTGATCAACTCCTGCCCCGGAACCAATGTCCCCACTGTGGAAGGACGTGTGGATCCAGAATTGGCCTCCACAGTCAGTTATGGACTCATTGTTAATACCGTGTTTAGGGAAGACTATCTTACTTGGCTATGAGTGGTCGCCAAAGAAGAACGCACAACCTCATAATTTTCATTATTAAGCTTTCCAGTCGGTGCCATTTTAGCTGCTATTTTAAATTAATATTTGGGAGAGGGGGTTGCCTTGGTGCATGAATGGGATTAGTGCATGAACAGAAAGGTATCTCTGTGCAGCCTTCAGTTCGTGTATATGCATTTTTCTTAGAACTGAACCTCTGCGTAATATTCAGTTCAGCTCTTTGGTTTTATTCATGTAGAAATTTACAGGCTAGTTTTGGCCAAACAGACCTCACCAAAACAACGAACAACCATTTTATTTTATTTTTAAACAATTAAAATAATGCAGTTGAAAATGAGTAGCACAAGAACACAGTCAACATAAAACCAGCAGCTGTGGGTACACAAATTAAGCAATACTGAGGGCCTGCTCTCATCGGCCTCCAAAGGGAAGGAAATGATTCGTTGGACCGTCTGAGAGAAGGAGTTCCAGATTCTGGGCTCCACCACAGAGAAGGCCCTGCGTTGTGTGCATTTGCTAGATGAGCAGCAGTCAAATCTTCAGGCCAGTGACCTGGATTTTTAAATACATATATATTTTTGCCTGGCATGCTCTGGTCCATGGGGTCACGAAGAGTCGGACACGACTAAACAACAACATATATTTTTGGGACCTAGTGAAGGAAGGTGAAGACAGGTGACCCCGCCTAGGCCCGAAGTCCTATGCACAGCATCTTGTGATAGAGCAGAGGAAAACTTTAGCTGTGGATTTTTAGAAGACAAAAGGAATTTTGGACAGTTTTGAGGCCTGGTTGGGGGGGGGTGACTTCGGGCCTAGGTGGGGTCACCTGTCTTCACCTTCCTTCACTAGCTTTCTGAATTTCAGATAATAATTTGATCTATATACCACAGCTAAGGCACCTGAGCTATATAAGAAAGTGTCATCCAGACAAGGTCGATCCCCCTGGCACCTTTCTTTTGAGAATGTAGTTTCCCCCCAATAAGTGTTTCCTCTGAGGCTATGGTGACCTTTGGAACTCATTGCCACAGGATTTTGTGTCGGCCACTTTAAAACAATTTAGCCACCGTTGTCAATTTATGATCCCTAATAAACCTGTCACCCAAGCCATGCCTCTCACTGGCCCCGCTTTGCATCCACATTCAGTGTTTTTTTGCCAGTATGAAATGTGTCCTTCATCTCTGATAATACATCTAAAATGTGGCAAGCCAGCTTTAAATCCATACGCTCTTGCACACGGACTTATGTTACCCTACTTTATATTTTCTGTTCTTATTCTTTTCTAGTAGACTTCCTTCTTCCTCAAAGCGGGTCTGTTTTCCTGTTTGTTATACTGTTTCTTTCTCATTTCATCATTTCTACCCTTCTCCATCTACTGTAGTTATGGACCACTGCATTTCTTCCCAATTTTAACCTGGCAGTGTCCTCACTCTCTCTCTCTCCCCCCCCCAATGTTCCAGGGGTTGTTGATTAACCTGTCCACAGATCTCATTTTGAGCTTGAAATAAACACCAGGTTGCAGAAATCCGATCCCACCATGGAGGAGAAAAAGAGGCGAGGCGGGCGAGGGGCTTTGCGTGACTCATTAGGGATGTCATGTTGTTTAGAACACAGAGTCCATTCAGCATTTTAGCAGGGTATTTGCTCTCCTGGGCCTTTTAATATTTAAGATGTAATGTATTTTGATTTCTAGAATGAGCATGTTTACACACACACACACACACACACACACACACACCATTGAGTTTCAGTGTAGTTTTATTGATTGTGTGGCTTTGTGCTGGCTTTACACTCTTTTTTTTTTGTGCCTCTGCAGCTTCTGTATTGATTGTTTTAAGGATATACCATATTTTTCCATGTATAAGATTATATTTTCCCCTATTTTTTCAAGTTTAAAATTGGAGGGGGGGTCATCTTATACACGGATAGTGCATTTGGGGGATTTCTTTATTTGGAGTCCCAAAAAATAGAGGTTGTGTTATACACGGAAAAATGCGGTGTGTGTGTGTGTGTGTGTGTGCGTGTGTGAGTCCCCTTTCCAAATAAAAAAAAAAGTCCAAGGAGACTTGCCTATTAAAATAAAGTGTACTTCAACTGTAACAGAATAAATTAGCATGCACACACAAAGACACGCACAAACACACCTTGCAGCTTCCAAAGAATAATTGGTGCTGATAATGCCAGGGTTGGAGGTTCAGTCCCCATATGGCCCAGCTGCATATTCCTACAATGCAGGGGTTAGGCTAGATGATCCTCAGGATCCCTTCCAATGCTATGATTCTATTTTTCTAATTCATGTATAAAACATAGCTCATTTAAAACTTGTAGAAAACATCGGAAGGCAGCCCTGTTCAGGGAAGGTTCTTAATGTCTGACATTTTATTATTTTGTATGTAGTGGTACCTCGGGATAAGAACTTAATTGGTTCCCATATCTCAGCTGCTTAGAACTCAGCTTGTTGCCTCGATTGTTAGTACAGTGGTACCTCGGGTTAAGTACTTAATTTGTTCCGGAGGGCCGTTCTTAACCTGAAACTGTTCTTAACCTGAAGCACCACTTTAGCTAATGGGGCCTGCTGCTGCCGCCGCACCGCCAGAGCACGATTTCTGTTCTCATCCTGAAGCAAAGTTCTTAATCCGAGGTACTATTTCTGGGTTAGCGGAGTCTGTAACCTGAAGCGTCTGTAACCTGAAGCGTCTGTAACCTAAGGTACCACTGTATTTTGCTGAAAGCCGCCCAGAGTGGCTGGGGAAACCCAGCCAGATGGATGGGGCATAATTATTATTATTATTATTATTATTATTATTATTATTATTATTATTAATGAATGCTCTCTCCACAGCTGAATGGCAATGCCTCTTCAAAAGCTACCTGCCACAAAGAGTTGTGTATTTGTATCTTGGTGTTTTTAATTTGTGAACAACCCCAGGAGACATAGTTAACGGGGGTGGGTGGGTTATATAAATGCCATAAATAAATTTGTTATGTTTCTGGTGTGTGTGTGTGTGTGTGTGTGTGTGCAGTTTAAATCCCTGGAGCAGGAGGAGAGAGCTTGCTCCCCCCCCGATAGAAATTTCTCCCCATTAAAGAGCGCATTGCAAAGTTATGTTGGTGCCCTTCCTTAGGCACCCTTGCAGTTTAACACGTGGTTTGCCGTTTAACACGTGGTTTGCCGTTAAGCACCAGAATTCCCCAAAAGCGTATTCTGCACATGCTCAGATGCAGCCTCTCTCTCTCTCTCCTTACCCCAGGAGCGGAGAAGACTCTTCATGGCAAAGAATTCTGGGGCTCATCCATTCTCAAGTTCAACCTCAAACTGGGAGAAGAAATGGTAAGATAGTCGTGGGAAGGAACTTGTGGGATGAAAGCATCCTTTTTTAAACTTCCCAAATATAGCCTTGTTAGCTGCCCTCTGTTCATCCTGCTGTTGATCGCTCTCCTCCTGCTTTTAGGGATTTAAACTGCACAGATTAAGCCATCATCCCTCCGATGTTCCTGTGCGCACTCTCTCTCTCTCTCTCTCTGCAAGGGCATATCTAATAAAAAGATGAGAGGCTGTTCAAAAATTCACTTTAATAAGCAGTGCGGTGGGTCTCTGAACAGTCGTCTCCTGACGGATGCACATTTTACCTGGTACATGAAATTGCTGTTCATCATCACAGTGGCAGAGGTCTGGGACATGATGTCCGCAGGTTTCATGCAGGCAGCATGGACTAAGGCGGTTACAGCGCTGATTCCACAAAATGCTCTTTGCTTGCTCATGTACTCATTTTAAATCTTTTGTGGGGCCTACTTTGACAAATGCTCTCAGAAGAGTTACGTTAAAAATGCTCTTTAAACAACTAAAGAGCATAAGACAAAACATCCAGGATTTGCCAGCCTCTGCACACACCTTGCTAGCTGGGCTAGCAAGGCGCATTGTCTGGGGAGATTCTCAAGAGCCACATAGGGATGGCTGGAGGGCCACATTCAGAGAATCAGAGAATCGTAAAGTTGGAAGGGACCCCGAGGAACATCTAGTCCAACCCCCTGCAATGCAGGAATATGCAGCTGTCCCATACGGGGTTCGAACCTGCAACCTTGGTGTTATCAGCATCACACTCTAACCAGCTGAGGACCCAGCTACACTCATCAATTATATCGTTTTAACTGTGTTATAAACATGTGACACCAGATGGCACTGCAGAGCCGTGATCCATCACCAAGGGGATTTTGCATTGAGAGCTTTTATAGCGGGTTTTTCTATCAGTGTAGATCCAACCTGAGTCCTTGGGCCTGAGGCTCCACATCCCTAGGCTAGATGGTAAGCAACCCTTGTAACACCATGAGCCATGTATCACTATGAATGAACAGTGAAAAGGACATCTGGATTCCACCAGCCTCTCTTCTAAATAAGGATGGACAAATCTGTCAATTTCAGTTCTCTCAGCTTCTCATATTTCCAAGTCTTCAGTTCTTCACATTTCTGCTATGCTTGGTTCTTGTTTAAACATGTTTTTGTGTGCAATTTTGCCCAATACACACACTTTTGCAAGGCAGTTTTCCTTCTTTGTGTGGGATAAAAGGTAAAGGTAAAGGGACCCCTGACCATTAGGTCCAGTCGTGACCGACTCTGGGGTTGCGGTGCTCATCTCGCTTTATTGGCCAAGGGAGCTGGCGTACAGCTTCCGGGTCATGTGGCCAGCATGACTAAGCCGCTTCTGGTGAACCAGAGCAGCGCACGGAAACGCCGTTTACCTTCCCACCGGAGCAGTACCTATTTATCTACTTGCACTTTGATGTGCTTTCGAACTGCTAGGTTGGCAGGAGCAGGGACCGAGCAACGAGAGCTCACCCCGTCGCGGGGATTCGAACCGCCGACCTTCTGATTGGCAAGTCCTAGGCTTTGTGGTTTAACCCACAGCGCCACCCGCACCCCTTCTTTGTGTGGGATAACCAGCCTCATATAACTGGCATGCTGATGTCTAATTAATGCAGGAAGGGGTTCATGCCATAGAGTAAGCCAGTGGGTTTTTTGGGGGGGGGATGCAGGGGTATGCATACCCCTAAACATTTTGTGAATCTAAGTTTGGTCTCATTGAGGGGCAGTATTTCAATATGAGTAGGAAAATGAGAGTACCCCTAAACATTTTTTTTTAAAGATAAAAGCACTGGAGTAAGCTGTCCTGTCAGGTTTAGCGAGAATCAGCTCAGACTACATGGTTCTCACAAGCCACTATTGAGCTCCTATGTCAATAACTTAAGAACTTTCACCCCTGTAACAAAGGCACGTTTTACTGCCAGTGCAACTTTTTCTGAATGCTGTATGGAAAAGCACATCACTCTGACCTTTGGTGAGTTTGTAAGTATACCATTATTAACTTACCAAATGTGACTTCTTTTCCTATGCTGGAGGAAGAGGCAAAATTTGGAATTCACTTTGAAGGGCATAGTTTAAAGGTCTAACAACCTATATTTCCACGCTTTACTTTGCTGAATGTTTCGTGGCTTTAAATATCCGCTGGGGTCCTCTCACCAAAGAGTACTTGCTCCAAACTTGGATCTTGGCATTCAGGAATTTTCCTTTTTATATACCTATTATTTTTTCCTTGAACCGACTCTCTGTATGCTAGCTTCACTGGTATATGCCTTTTCATGCGCAATTCACCCCGTATTTAGAACACGTTAGGTGGCTGCAGAGCTGCTTTGTGAGATTTGCAGAAGTGCGGATTTTGGGGGGCTGCGTGCATTTGGTGGGCTTGCCTTTAAATGCTGACTTAATCCCATTTCTCCCCCCTGCCTGCTTCTAACACTAGTATAGTATTTAAGGTGGGGGGGGGACCCTCTCTCGCTTTTTCTGCTAAGGCCCTGAGTGCTACTGATGTGAGTCACAGATGCCAGCAGGTGAGCAGAAGCCTATGTGAAAATACTCACCCTGCCCTAAATCAAATCCCTCAACAAATGGTGGAGGGGTCCTCCCTCCCTCTTCCAGTTTCTACTTCATTCTCCAGGCTCCTCTGTTCCCTTTCGTGACCTCCTCTTTCGTAGGAAGCGAGCAATTTAATCCAGCCTCTGAGGCTGGCAGGGGAACCTTTTGTTGAGAAGCAGCGGACAAAAGCAACCTCCCTCTGGTTACCTTAATTCCAGGCTGCCATTACCAGGCATTCCTGCTTTTCGATGGCAGTCAAAAGGAGTTCGCCACGGGAGTCAAGATGTGGGGCAGCTGCAGGTTGAATGGCTGCAGAAGCAGGGAAGGATACACGCCCTTGCCTGCCACCGCTGCCAGAGTGCTTTTAACACAGACCCTGAGTGGGTGGATGACACTCGCAATTATGTGTAATGGATTCTTAGTGGATGAGCTGGCACTGCTCGGACAGGGTGCGCAGGCTCCTAGCTTCCCCCTTTCACCAGGAAGAGTGTCTTGATTTTTTGGCTCCTGATGGTGGGGAATTGCTGCCTCTTGATTTTGGTTGGAGTCTGAAAGCTCAAAGCACACGGGCAGTTAGAAGGCAGATGAGTTGCTGGATAAGATCTGCAGAGCCCTCCTGCCTAACACGAAACCGTGCAAAAATGGAGCTGAGTGATTTATGCCCATTTAGAGAAATCTTGCATCTCTGCACGTTTTAGTACTGCTGGCTCTTAATTTATTTTGCCGCAGACCAAACCCAGCGTGAACCATTGGAGACTAAGCTGATTCCATTGGAATCACAGACAGGTGGGTGGGTTTCCCTGGTTGTGCATGGCGTATGGAAAGTGTGGAAAAAGAGTCTGTTAAGCCTTTAAAATATCCCCTTCAAAGTTGCTTCCATACTTCCTTTCTTCTCTTGACATGGAAAGACAGCACATGTTTGGTAAGTTAAAAATGGTTTACTTACAAACTCTTCAAAGGTAAGATTCATGTGCTTTTCCATGTAGCAGTCAGAAAACACAGGCAGTAAGACTTAGGTTGCAAAATGGTGCAGGTTTCTAAATTATTTGTATAGAAACAGAATGATGGCTCGTGTAAGGAGGAGGTCTGAGCTTGGAGCAACCAGCTCAGAACTCCTTACTCATAGGAGTTCCCATAGTGGAATGGGAGAACAAAGAGCTCCAAATTTATTGGAAATCATCGAGAACATTGTTCAAATGGACCAAAAGTTAATTTAGACCAGCAATCTACTTCACAGAAGCCAAATCAGAGAAGCCACAGAAGCTGGGCAAGAGGGCATCTGAAAACCTTGATCTTTTTTAGGTCACCTCTTATTTTAATTATTATCTGAATGTTTTAAATAGCTGTTTTAACTGTTTTTACTGATAATATTTTTTTTAAAAAATCTGCTTTGAGGGTTTTTGTTATTTTTAAAGTCCAGCAACATACAAATTTTATGAAATGAAATTTAAAGTATCTGTGTGTGTGATGGAATTGCATCTGCTGGAGCGAAGATGGGATTTGGGGTGAATGCCAAAAGCCTTGCAGATGACAAGTGTCGTATTGAGAGAAATCCCCTCGTGTCGGTGTTTCCATCTGGGGCACAAAAGTCCATTGACTTCCACGTCATCCGGTGACCAGAATTTTAAAAATAGAAAGAAAAACAGCTAAAAATAGCGCTGGGAGGATTTTGGCAGAAGAGCAGTGCTCGAAAAGAAAAACACCCTGCGATGTGCCCACTTTCAGCTGAAACATTCAGACCCACGAAAGCTTTTGTGGTGCTGGCACAGAAGGATGGAGGCTTATTTCCCCGTGACCCTTCCTCTAGTTTTGTTTTCAAATCCTGCACATTCCTCTCTGCTCTTCCTGGATTAGTTCCTTGCAGTGCTAAAAACACAGGGCGAGGTGGGAACCATCACTTTCTAAATGTGCCTTTCCCCCCATCTTAATCCTCTAAAAGCCATGCCTTTGGCTGGCATCTGCAGCAGGGCTTAGCCAAGGCTGCTTCCCCACAGCCTTACACTGTTTCCTCGCAAGCAGGACCTGAGCCCAAGAGCCATCTGCCCTCCTGCAGTTTCCAGCAGCTGGTATTCAGAAGTATGGCTGCCTCCAACTGCAGAGACAGGGCAGAGCCATCCTGGCTCTTCTATGAATCTGTGTAATCCTTTTCTAAAGCCATCTAGGTTGGGGACCATCACTGCCTCCTGTGGCAGGGAGTTCCATAGTTTAACTATGGGCTGCCTGAATAAGTACTTCATTTTCTCTGTCCTGAATCTCCCAACATGAAGCTTCATTGGTTCCCTGTGAGTTCTAGTGTTAGGAGGGAAGAAAAACTTTTCTCTCTCCGCTTTCTCCATGCCATGTATGATTTTATAAACTTCTATCCCGTCTATATTTAAATTTATTATTTATTAAATTTGTATACCGCCCTTCAGACGTCTATCTCAGGGCAGTTCACAGCCTCTTACAGTGGTGCCTCTGGTTAAGAACTTAATTCGTTCCGGAGGTTCTTAACCTGAAACTGTTCTTAACCTGAGGTACCACTTTAGCTAATGGGGCCTCCCACTGCTGCTGTGCCGCCGGTGCGCGATTTCTGTTCTCATCCTGAGGTAAAGTTCTTAACCCGAGGTAGTACTTCTGGATTATCGAAGTCTGTAACCTGAAGCGTCTGTAACCCAAGGTACCACTGTACTTGCTTTTTAAACCAAGACATCCCCAAACGCTGCCATCCTTTCTCAGAAGGGAGTGGCTTCATCCATCTGATCGTTTGGGTGGCACTTTTCTGACTCTACAATATCCTTTTTGAGCTGAAGTGACCAGAACAGCACACGGTATTCCAATTGCAGTCGTACCATAGATTTGCTTTATTTTCAATTCCTTTCTTAATGATCCCTGGCATGGAATTTGCCATTTTCAGAGCCGCTGCAACCAAGGTTGACATCTTCACCAAGGCAGGCAAAAGAACTAGGAAATGTTTTCTGGCCTTTCCACCCCCTCTCCAACACAACACAACACAACACAACACACAACACACAACACGGACTTGCAGTGCAAGGGACTAATAGGCCAGAGGCAGCAACAGGAGGAGGGG